TTTAAAAAGAATTAAATGTAAATTATCAAACTGAAAAATACAGCAACTGAAATAAAAACTTGCTAGATGGGCTCAATAATAGAGTGGAAATGACAGAGGCTAGAAATCAGTAAACCTGAGGACAGATCAATAGGATTTACCCTGGACAACAGAGATAAAATAGACTGAAAAAATGAGCAGAGCCTTGGGAGCCTGTGGGATAGTAACAATAGATCCATCATCAGAGTCCCAGAAGGATATAAGAAAGAGAGTAGGGCTGAAAGAGTATTTTAAGAAATAATGGCTGAATACTTCCCAAATTTCTCAAGTGCTGAAAGAAAAGAACTATCAACTATGAATATTGTATCCAGTGAGGAGTGAAAGGAATATAAAGACATTATCAGACAGAAGAAAACAGAATTTGTTGCTAGCACACCTACCCTTACAAACTGGCTAAAGGTAGTTCTTCAAAGAAAGGAAATGATAAAAGAAGGAATCTAGGACCACCATGCAGGAAGAAAGTATGACGACAAAAAGCACAGAAATATGGACTTCTCATAAGTCTTATAAATCATATTTGATGGTTGGAACAAAAAAACATACATCATCTTAAATCAAGAAAAAGATAATTAAAAGTAGGGAAAGAAAAGGGAGATATATGGGAGTAAATTTTCACACATCACTCAAAGTGGCAAAATGTTGATACAAGTAGACTGTGATGTGTTGTATATGCTTATTGTAAAACCTAAAATAAATATTAAAAAACTATACAAAGTTATATATTCAAAAACACTATAAATACATCAAAAAATAATCCAAAAATTGTTCAAGTAAACCACAAGAAGGAAAGAAAAGAGAAATAGATAATAAATTCAATACATTTTTAAAAAAGGAATAGAGGGGAGAAAACAAAAAATAAAATTAACAGATTTAAGTCCTAAATATATCAATAATTACCTTAAATGTAAGTGGTATAAATATACCAGTTAAAAGACAGATATTTGCAGAATGAACACAAAATTATAATCCAACAATATGCTGTCTACAAGAAACTCACTTCAAATATAATCATAAAATAGGGATGTTGTGAGAGGATGAAAAAAGGCGTGCCATGCAAACATTAATTTTTAAAATGTTGCCCGGCCACATGTGGCTCAGTGGTTGAGCGTTGACCTGGGATCCAGGCGATTGGGGTTTGATTCCCAGTCAGGGCACATGCCCTGGTTGCGGGCTTGATCAATGACTCTCTCATCATTGATGTTTCTATCTCTCTCTCTCCCTCTCCTTTCCTCTCTCTGAAATCAATAATGATATATTTAAAAATAAAATAAAATAAAATGCAGGAGATATCCAGATAAAGTAGACTTCAGAGCAAAGAAAATTACTAGAGACAAAGAGGGACATCACCAGGAAAATACAGTGATTCTAAATATATGTGCAACCCCCCCCCCCAAAAGAAGAGCCTCAAAATACACAAAGCAAAATTTGATTAAGCTGACAGGAAAAACAAATCTACAACCATAGTTGTGGATTTCAACATTCCAGTTTCAGCAAATGAATTACTAGATAGAAAATCAGTAAAGACACAAAACTAACAACACAATCAATCAATTGAATCTAACTGATATATTCAGAACATTCCACCCAACAAGAGCAGAATAAAAAATATTGTTTAAGAGCCAATGGAACATGCACCAACAGAGACTATGTCCTAAGCCATAAACAAACTTCAACAAATTTAAAAGAACTAACATAATACAGATCATTTTTCTGACTTCAACCTAAAAATCATTAACAGGAAGACAAAAAAATCTGCAAAAACTTGGAAATTAACATATTTCTAAACAATCCATGGGCAAAGAAGAATTCTCACAAGAAAATTTAAAACACACAGGATTGAATAAAGATAAAAATACAATATGTCAAAATGTATAGATGTAGCTACGAAGTACTGAGGGGGAAATTATAATCCTAAATGCTTACATTAGAAAAGAGGAAGAGTTTCAAATCAATAATATTTACTCCCACCAAGAAACTAGAAAAATATGAGAAGGATAAACCCATAGCAAGCAGAAAGGAGGAAATAATAAAGAATAAAAATCAATAAAACTGAAAACAGATATATAGAAAAAAATTAATGAAACAAAAAGTGGTTCACTTGAAAAAATCAATAAAACTGATAGTTTTCAAGACAACCGAGAAAAATAAAATATATGTAAGACACAGATCATAATTATCAGGAGTAAAAGGAGACATCAGTACAGATACTGCTCTCATTAAAAAAATAATAATAAGGAATATTACACATAACTTTACACTAAAAAAATGTACAACTTGTAAGACAGACCAATTCCTCAAAACCTACAAACTATCAAAACTCAATCAAAGTGAAACAGATAACCTGAATAATCCTATTACCATTAAAAAACTGAATTAGTAATTTAAAAGCTGAAAAAGAAATCTCCATGCACAAATGATTTTACTAGAGAATTCCATGCACTTACACAAATCCTCAACAAAATATTAACAAATCCAGCAAATGTTTAAAAAAATTACAAGCCCTGACCTACTGAAATTTATTCCAGGTATGCAAGGTTGGTTCCACATTTGAAAATTAGTCAATTATTCCAGCATATTAACAGGCTAAAGAAAAAATCATATTATTGTACCAAATGAAGCAGAAAAAACATTTGACAAAATAAAATGCCCATAAATAATAGACATTGTCAGAAAACTAGCAATAGAGTGAAGCTTCCTCAACTGATAATCTACAAAAATCTACACCTAATATCACACTTACTGGTAAAAAAAAAAAAAAAAGAAAAGAAAAAAGAAAAAAGATTTCCCAAAAATCCCAAGAAATTTACAAAAAAGAAACAAACTCTCAAAAAGTGAGTTCAGCAAGGTTCTAGAATATAAAATCAACACGCATAATGCAATTACATTTCCCTTTTTTTGCATTTCTATTTACTAAAAACTAATATATAGAAACCAAAATTTAAAACACAGTAACATTTATAATTGTTTCCAGAAGTTAATATTTAGCAATAAATCCAACAAAACATGTATAGAATCCGCATCCTGAAAATTACTAAATGCTGATGAAATAAATCAAAGAAAATCAAAGATGACATAAATGAATAGAGAGATACCATGTTCATGGATTGGAAGACTCAAAATAGTAAAGATGCCGGTTCTTCCCAAATTGATCTACAGGTCTAATGCAATTCTTATTAAAACATCAAGGTGTTTTGTAGGCATAGATCATCTTCTTCTAAAATTATATGGAAAGGAACAGGGACTAGCATAGCTAAAACAATTTTAAAAGAGAAGAATGAAATGGGGGGAACCACTCTACCAGATGTTAAAGCTTGTTAAATAGCTACAGTGGTTAGCATTATTATTGTTGCAGGGACAGACACAAAGATCAGTGGAACAGTTAGATAACTCAGAAAAAGACACACAAATATACATTAAGTGAACTTTTTCAAAAGTGTAAAAGCAATTCACTGGAGTAAGGACAGACTGTTCAACTACGGTGTTGGAGCAACTACACTCTTAGGCATTTATCTCAGACAAATGAAAACTCATATTCACACAAAAACCTGTACAAAAACGTTCACAGTAAAAAAAAAAAAAAAAAAAAAAAAAAAAAAAA